GGAGGGGAGGACTTCTCCTCCTCTTGTACATCTCACTGAAATCAATCCCAGACCTCTTCATTCTGCAACAGGCTGCAAATGTACAACTTCCATAACATCACAATAACTTCCAGTGACACACGGGAATTAAACGTAAAGCTAACACACAAACTAGCATGTCACAAAGAGCAGTAAATACGTGTAAAAAAATAAATGAATAAAAATACAATAATTTTGTCAAGCTCAACAAAATAGACACAGACGAGTCTGTGTCTATTTTGCAGCGTTTGGTGAAAAAATAACAACATGTTTTACTAAAAAAAAACGGCTATGCTAAGCTAGAACAAGGTGATGTTCAACCTAGTAACCTGTTAAAGCAGAGGCATAAGAGGAATTACATTTTTACGACTTTTTTAGATTCTCAAAGAAATGTCAACTCACCCCCCGACTCCACTGGTTTTGACTATGGAGTACGGGCCATTGTCCGGCTCCATAGCGGTTACTTCATTCTTTCTTGGGAGTTTTTACTACGGTCCAGTCGAAGCAGACAAACTTTTTCCATTCCAGGTGTTCTGTGCGAGTCCGTGAACGTATCACCGCAAATACAGAAGAAGAAAAAAACCCTACACCGGGGCTTTTTATAAGAAAACAAATTATGTTTTTCCTGTCATTATTCCTCCTTACTGTATCCCGCGGCCGTGCTCTTTCTGTAGATGTCAGTGAGTTCAAATTATTTTTAAAAGCTTCCACCTGTGCGCAAACCGACGTTCGTCCGTATTCCCGGCGACAGTTTCGCTAAAGTACAATGAACGTCAAGTCAAGTCCTTCAGTTCGGGGAAAAACAGTAGCCGGATGAGATAATGAGCGGCGTTTTCTATGTGTGAGAGAGAGTCTGTGTGTGTCCGTGTGTGTACATGCGTGAGTGTGTGCATGGACTTCCCATATTGAAAGTTTATTGAGAAGTGAGGGAATTGTTGGGAATGGGAACAACCCCCTCTGTATTTCTCAGCTGACATGAAGGGAGCAGAAGCCACATAGCGTGCACTTTCTCCAGCTGGAAGAAGGTGTGTCCTCCGATCCTTAAACTCAACATGTGCGTTTGAGCGGTAGATAGTGATGAAGAAGAAGGAGAAGAAGAAGAGGAAGAAGAGGAAGAGGGAGAAGAAGAAGGAGAAGAAGAAGAGGAAGAAGAAGAAGGAGAAGAAGAAGAGGAAGAGGAAGGAGAAGAAGAAGAAACAACGGACATAGCCGTTTGAAAGTGAAGAGTAGAGGTAGCAGTGGAGAAAGCAAGAATGAAAGAAAGAAAGAACCTGAAGACAGTAGAAAAAATCTCACTGCTTCTTCTTCTTCTTTTTTCTTGATTGCCAGTTGCTGGTTGACACCATAGTGTCTAGATTTTTTTTAAGTGATTGGGAGGAGATTATAATGATCAAGAATGGGGCTCTCTTTTACAGATAGAAAACTTTTAGTTTTCTATCTGTTGTCTGTATTTAATCATCAATGAAGCCAATGATCTCTCCTTGAATCGCAACCTTAACGTGGGGGAGGGGTTTGAGTATCCAAATGAACCTAGGAGCTATGTTGTCGGGGGCTTAACGCCCCTGGTAGGGTCTCCCAAGGCAAACAGGTCCTAGGCGACGGATCAGACAAATAGCGGTTCAAATAGCGGGGGTGGGGTGGGGAGGGGGGCTGTTGACCTCGACTGAGGATGTTGTCGGGAGGATCTTCTCAATCCCGATGACACGTCTTCCGAGGGGGGAGCTGAGGCTGAGGACTCAGCAGCTGATCCTCCAATCTCCTGCGCTGAGGTCACCGATACAGTCAAAAAGCTGCTCAGTGGAAAGGCACCGGGGGTGGATGAGATACGCCCTGAGTATCTTAAGTCTCTGGATGTTGTGGGGTTGTCTTGGTTGACACGCCTCTACAGCATCGCGTGGCAGTCGGGGACAGTACCTCTGGACTGGCAGACCGGGGTGGTGGTACCTCTTTTCAAAAAAGGACCGGAGGGTGTGTTCCAACTATCAGGGGATCACACTCCTCAGCCTCCCGGGAAAAGTCTATTCCAGGGTACTGGAGAGGAAAATCCGGCCGATAGTCGATACTCAGATTCAAGAGGAACAATGCGGTTTTCGTCCTGGTCGTGGAACACTGGACCAACTCTATACCCTCCAGAGGGTGCTTGAGGGTTCATGGGAGTTTGCCCAACCGGTACACATGTGTTTTGTGGACTTGGAAAAGGCTTTCGATCGTGTCCCTCGTGGTATTCTGTGGGGGGTGCTTCGAGAGTATGGGGTTGGGGGCCCTCTTTTAAGGGCTGTCCAGTCCCTGTACGATC